GGTAGGTAACCTAATCCAAGAGACTCACCACATTAAAGAACCATCCTAAATTAATTTTCCAAGATCATCACCTCTCCGATAGGACGCCCTCCTTCAGTGAGGTTAGATCTATTGTCCTTGATAACAGTGAGAAAGGAATCTTAGATTCCCCTCTGAGGTTGTCTGAGATTAAATGGGCCCTAAACTCTTTTAAACCTATGATGGCTCTAGGGATAGATGGGCTTCACCCATTCTTCTACAAAAAACATTGGCAAATGTTGTCCAATCAGGTAAACAACTACTACATGTCAATATGTTCCTGTGGTACCTTGCCTTCTGAACTTAACAGAACCTACCTCTACCTAATCCCTAAATTTCCTAATGCTACTATGTTAAGAAACTTTAGATCTATAGGATTATGTAACACCATGTACAAGCTAGTCACTAAGATCATTATCAACACAATCAAGTCTGTCCTTCACAAAATCATGGGGCTAACCCAAGCGAGCTTCCTGGCAAATAGAAGAGCTGTAGACAATGCCATAGTAGTTCAAGAGTACGTAAACCACTTTCAACAAATTTAAGGGAAAATGCTAACATAATATTAAAAGTGGATCTAGAGAAAGCCTTCGATAGACTTGAATGGTCATTTACCAGAGATTCTCTTGTATTCCTCAATTTTTCAATTAGGCTAGCCACCCTGATTATGTGTTGCATAACTACCAGCACTCCCCTAGGGGTATTAGACAAGGGGACTCTATCTCCTCCTATTTGTTCATCATTTGCATGAAAGTACTTTCTAGAAGTATTGAGAAGGTAATAGTAAACAACTCCTGGTTCCCCATCAACATCAGCAGGGAGGCCCTAAGATCTCCCATTTATTTTTTGCTGATGACCTTACTCTGTTTGCCAAGGCTAACAGAAAAAACTGCCATGCTATTTTAAGTGCACTAGGGGAATTCAATAATGCCTTTGGTCAAAAGTTCAATTTCCAAAAGTCTAAGGTCATTTCTTTGCCAACTGTAAAGAGGAATAGGCTAGCCAGTGCAGCTCCTTCATGGGCATCTAGACTGGCTCAACCTTTGGCAAGTACCTAGGCTTTTCCATTTTCCACAAAAGACCCACTAATAGTGACTTCCAATTCGTCATAAACAACCTTAATACTAAGCTTGCAAGCTGGAAAACCAAGTTCCTCAAGATGGATGACCGTATTACTCTAGCTAAAGTTAGTCTGAGTAGCATCCCCAACCATGAAATACAGTACATTAAGTTGCCTATTAAAATAACCAAACAAATTGATAAAGTTTAGAGGAATTTTATCTATGGCACCACGTTTGAAAAAAAACTGCACATGGCGAAATGGGATAAAATCACAAAACCCGGGAGGGGGGAGGAGGGAGGGGGGTTCTGGGGTTGCGACAAGACCACATAAAAGATAAGACTTACAATACTAGCCTAGCTTGGAGAATCTACAACAACACTAACTTCATTTGGGCTAGAGTGCTCATGGGGAAGCATTGTCGTGGGACTGAAAACTAGGGCAAGGCTAAGACTAGGGTCTGGCGGTGCGTTCAAGAGGGTTGGAAAGCGTGTTCTAAAGCCTCCAGGTGGGTAGTCCACAAATGGGATAGGGTCAATTTTCTTGAGGACATTTGGTTGCCCAATATGCAACCTCTCAATTCTATCCCAAGAGGGCCTTGGCAACAAGCTGATCTGAACATGAAGGTCAATACTTTGCACCGCAATGGGGCTTGGGACCTCAAATCAATCAGCTACCCCATTCCTGATGATATCACATCCATCATCCAAAGAACCTTTATCTCACTCAATGCAAGGGCAAATGATAAGCTAATATGGAATCTCACACCCACTAGGTTATTTTCCTCTAAGGCTGCCTATACTTTCATTTCCTCCAACTTGACCACCAATTCTGTCCGGGAAGACCTTTATGGTTGGGTATGGAAACTGGAAGTTCTAAATAAGATCAAGTTCTTCATCTGGATAATGAACCAGAATAGACTTCCCATTGGAAGTTACCTACATCACATTGGACTGAACATTAACCCAAACTACTCCCACTGTGGAGTACATGTGGAAGACATCAACCACATATTCTTTGAGTGCATTATTGCTAAAGAGTTATGTCTCAAGCTAGTAATGATTAGCATTAACAGTCAAGCCATTTCCCCTTCAGCCTTCACTATGAAGAACTGGGAGGATACTTGACATAAGCTCCAAAAAGAGCCTTTCAATGCATGTATAAAAAGAAAGTTAAAAGATCCAAGTTCTTTTATCTTTTGAATTCAAGATACAATTAATAAATGGGTGGAAATCGTTTATACCTCCAACTTTAATATTTTTTTCGTTTTTTTCCTTTTCTTTTATCTTACTTTATATTTTCTTCTTCTCCAACTCGTCCCTTAACCGCCGGCGTATCGAAAAAAATGACCATCACCATATTTATCCACATCGCCCAAAAAATAACAGCCAACCTTATTCTTTTTCAGGACCCTACCTCTAAGTCAAACGACATATTATTTTATTCAGCAAAATCTCATGAAGCGCCCAAAAAGAAAAAAATAGTACATATAACAAAAGAAAAGTATTTATGTAATTGATCCCTCTGATGTGACGAAATCAAAAGGAGCGAGCATTCTCATTACATAATTATTAAAATCAGATCCAAGTCTTCCCTATAAACCTCTAAAATGTCGATAAAAAGTGCAACTTTTTTGCTCTGCTCAATACTATTCATGTATTCTTCTACAATATTTATGCTATTTTTTACACATTTATTTTAAGCTTGGAATAGTCGATAATTTGGCTTTAAGTAGATCTTAATTAGTATGTAATTCCTAGGGCAATAGGCAATAGATAAGATGGCGAAATACTAACTTCTATTGAAATAAGTGTCTACTAACTTTGATACAGTTCTTAAGAAGACTCCTGCATTTTATGTGAGTGTTGAATTCTTCACGCACTGGTTAGTTCATCCCTTTTTTGTCACTATGGCCCCTAAATGGTGCTAAAAAGTTGCTTTTTATTCTTCAATAAAGATTAAAGGGGTAATAGGTCCCGCAAAGATTAAGTGTGGAATTGGAAATCCGACTCAAGAGGGGTATTTATGCTTTTTTGCTATCTCTATTTAATTTTATGCTATTGAACTGTCTAACTTTCAAAAAAGGTTGATAATGAATAAGAATGATTATATGTTTTAAAATATTCTGATTTTTTTAGCCCAAGACACCATCAAAGTAACTTAGTGTTCTTCCATACATCGGAAGATAATTTTTTGTTAGGTTGACAAAGAAAAATGAAAAATTGAATTAGCCTTACTATTCCTAAATTTTATTTCCCAAATCGACAAAAATACAAATTCTAATTAATAATTCACACTCTATTCTAAAATAATCTCTCAAATCCCATAAAATTATCAGACAATCAAAGTAGCAAACTGTTGTTAACAAGAAAAAGCGTAATAATTTTTTGAACCCTCCACTCAGCTTTGCTCAGTCTACTTCGTTTTCAAACCCTTGAGAGATAAAAGAACATTTTGAGAGCCATTAAAAAGTATCCCTTCAACATTCAAATTCTTGGAGCTTGATTTTGAAGCTGGATATGAGAAGTGATTTCCAAAACCGTTAATGATTGGTTAAAAGTTCTTTAAAGGCTCGCAAACACTACCACGAAAAAAAATCAGAAAAGCTCATAGAAACCCCAAGTCTACCTACCATAACAAAGTTTGTAAAAATAATATCCTTATTGAACAATTAAAAGTTCATCAAAATACTACATGCATAATTAATTGTGTATAGTGTATTATGTATGTATACAACTCATATACTTGTATAATATATAACAACAACACAAACTCAGTGTATTCTCATAAGTGGGGTCGGATGAGGGTAATGTGTACGCAGACCTTAACTTCCGCTACCTTGTGAAGGTAAATAGTTTGTTTCTGATAGACCCTCGGCTTCAAGGAACAGTGATAAAGAAGCTACCAACCATAACAGTAATACGAAAAAAAAAACAAAGACACATAGTATAAAAACAAAGATCTAGAGATAAGAAATATAAGAATAGTACTAATACTATTGTAAGAATGACACAACATGTAATAAAAAGATATAAGAACTAGAACTAATACTACTGGTAAAACTAGGAGACACCCTCGACTACCTATCAACCTTCGACCCTAATTCTCGACCTCCACACCTTCCTATCTAGGGTCATGTCTTCGATAAGTTAAAACTACGTCATGTCCTGCCTAATCACTTCTCCCCAGTACTTCTTAGGCCTACCTCCACCTATCCCGGGACCTGCCATTGTCAACCTCTCACATTTCCTTACTGGAGCGTCTATGCCTCTCCTTATCGCGTGCCGAACCATCTCAGCCTTGATTCCCGCAGTTTGTCTTCCATAGGGGTCAGTCCTACCTTGTCCCTAATAACTCATTCTTAATCTTATCCTTCCTAGTATACCCAAACATCCATCTCAACATTCTCATTTATGCTACTTTCATCTTCTGGATATGGAATTTCTTTACTGGCTAGCACTCGGCACCACACAACATAGTCGGTCTAACTCTGACTCCCTAAAACTTGCCCTTAAGTCTTGGTGGCACATTCTTATCACACAAAACACCATATGCGAGCCTCCATTTCGTCCAGTACACTCCAATATGTGTGTAACATCCTCATCAATCTCCCCATCACCTTATATATTAGACCCAAGATATTTGAAACTATCACTCTTGGGGATGACTTGTGTATCAAGCATCACGTCCCACTTCTGCTTCATGTGTCTCTTCACTGAAGTAGCACTCCAAGAATTCTATTTTTTTTTACTCAACTTAAACCTTTAGACTCCAGGGTCTATCTCCAAACTCCAGCCTAGAATTGACCGTGCAACGCGTCTTGTCAGTTAACACAATATCATCTACAAATAACTTACACCATGGTACCTCCCCTTAGATGTATCGCATCAGCATATCCATCGCCAGAGCAAATAGAAATGGGCTAAGAGATGAACCCTGATGTAACCCCATCATCACTATAAAAATGTTCCAGGTCTCCTCCCACAGTCCTCACCCAAGTTTTAGCACCATCGTACAAATCCCTAATCACCCTAGTGTACACTACTAGAATTTCGCTAACCTCTAAACATCTCCATAGAACCTCACTCTGGACTTTGTCATAGGGTTTTTCTAGATCAATGAACACCATATACAAGTCCTTCTTCCTTTCCCTATACTGCTCCTCCAATCTCCTCACAAGATGAATAGCTTCTGTAGTCGACCGCTGCGGTATGAATCTGAACTGGTTATCTCCTACACTTTCATAGTGTGACTCAGCAGCTTGATACCCCTATAGTTGTTGCAATTCTGGACGTCACCTTTATTTCCCCGAGCCTTCCTCTCTCTAACCTTGGCTAACCAGTACAATCTCTTGTCACTGCCTCTGCCCCCAAGTTCCTCATACAAGAGTACAAATGTCGCAGTCTTAGCTTCCATGACCAATAACTTTGCCTCTTTCTTAGCCTTCTTATATTACTCCATATTCCTCTTCTTCTCCTCCTCGATTGTGCTCTCTACTAGCTTCAAATATGCTATTTTCTAGGCTTGCACTTTTCCTCGGGCCTCTTCATTCCACCACCGGTCCCCATTAGGGCCTCCCCAGTAACCATTCGTGACCCTTAACACCTCTCTAGCAGCTCCTCTAATACAGTTTTATGTCGTGGTCCACGCACTACTCATGTTCCCGCTACTCTTCCAAGACTCCATATCCACAAACTTCTCCCTTAACTTATGAGCTTTGTTTTTAGTCAAGGCTCCCCACTTGATCTTAGGTTGGCCGTACACTGCTCTCTCTTTCTCTTTCTCTGTCTCTTTCTCTTAATCTCCAAGTCCATTACTAAGAGCCTATATTGTGTCGATAGACACTCTGGATAACCTTGCAATTAGTGCACATGCCTTTATTTAATTTGAGTCTTAGCCACTGTACTCCGAAAAGTTACCAAGTGGTCATCCAACTTTTGAAAATACTTGTTAGTTATCAATAGATAAAGCTTTAGCAAACTCCAACAATGAGGTTCCTTCATCGTTCCTACCTTCAAAACTGAATCTACCATGCACCTTATCATAGCCCCTTGCATCTTTCCCAATGTGGCTATTAAAATCACCTCCTATGAATAGCTTCTCGATAAGCGGGACACCTCGCACCACCTCGTCCCAATCCTCATAGAAGTGCGATTTGGCCTCCTCGCCTAAGCCCATTAGGGGCACGTATGCACTATTCACGTTCAACGTGAAACTACCAACAACTAGCTTAATAGTCATAGGCATATCGTTCACTCTCCTAACATCTACGATTAACTCCCTGAGATCCCTATCAACTAAAATTCCTCCCCGATTCTTTCCCCTAGCACCTCATGAATAACACAATTTAAACCCGTTAACTTTTCGCGCCTTAGTACCCACCCATCTAGTCTCCTGGACACACGCTATATTGATCTTACTCTTTTGGACAATGATTCCTAACTCTATGGACTTCCCCATCAAAGTCCCTATATTCCAAGACCCAATTCTCAACCTAGCGGCTCCCTTACCAACCTTTCCCCCCGCCACACCTAAGGACATGACCTCACTCTACCATTACTCAGTCCAGCCATAAAATCTAAGGGATATTAAGTTAGTAAAAATACAACACGCAACAAGGCTAATTAAAAGAAAATAGTTTGCAACTTAAGGCTCTAGCTGTAAGCAAACATAGAAAAGCAAAGATAAATAAAGATATTGAATATATTAGAATATAAGGGAAAAGAAATCAAGTAGTTGATGCAAGTGATTGTATTGTAAACGACAAAGACAAAGAACGATATAGAATACAACAAAATATGAAAAGGCAAAGAATGATAGACCCTAGGATGTAATCAGAGATGTCTACACAACGATGCCACCCACACTGAACTTTATTTCAGTGGGGCCCGTATTGATGCCTGCTATCTCTCCTTATTATCGGTTGTCCGCTGGGTTCGTCTCTGGTTATGTGTGCGGTAGTGACTTTTTATTCTTAGGGTTTTGGTGAGTGTTTCTAGCGGGAAAGGGAGAAACAAGACAGGGGTAGAAGAGAGAATAGATGTGGAGAATGGGAAGAAGGAAATGGGCTGCCAGTGTTCGAATTCTTGATGGTCCACCTAGGGTTTAGAATAAAAGAGGAAAGGGAAAAGAAAAATAAAGGAAGAAAAAGGAAGGCGAGCAGAGGAGAAGAAGATGAGGGAAGGGGAGAGTAGAGAGAGAAAAACTAGAAGGGGTTACTTACCTGAAGTGGTTGAGGAAACGCCGGTCGAGGATGTGCAAATGGGGGCGTTTAACGGTGAGTGAGAGAGAAGGAGAGAAGAGAGAGGAAATAGTTACAATGCAAATAGAGAGATAATCGAAAGTCTCTCTAGGAACTCAAACTTGTATAATATACATATACATATTATATGTAGTATATAAATTGTATATACATTTCATATAAATTATATTATTCGTATACACCATATTTACTGTATATATTACATTATCATCTTATATACACTTCATATTTATGTAAACCATATGTCTGTATATATATATATATATATATATATATATATATATATATATATATATATATATGTACATACATGTCACTCCTAGGAATTATTAGGAAGGCTTTAATAAAGGATTTTAAATAAAGCTTACAAAAATTAACACTGCATATCCAAATCCTACCAAATAAACTAAAAAAAATAGGAGAATCTGAATATTCAACTTCTAGTTCCACGCTTGTTCCTTTACAAAATTGAAATTCATTCAAAAAAATTAACAGTCAATCACCAAATATTCAATACAAGTTTTTGAGTATGTATCTCAGTGTGTACATCATATCATATATCATTATATATAACACAAGATTTTCATTGATATACATAAACTTGTATATCATACTGTATATATAGTGTATATAACACAAGATTATCATTGATATACATAGACATGTATATTGATATGCATGATAATAAGGAGATAGGCGGATATACAAAGTTATATACATTGATATGTAAGATGATATATATGGAAATATAGAGCGGGATACATGAATGGAGTATTCTTCAACCAACAACATACCCAGTGCAATCCCACAAGTGGGGTCTAGAGAGGATAAAGCGTATGCAGACATTACTCCTACCTTGTGAGAGTCGAGAGGCTCTTTCTGAATGGTGTATTCTTCAATCTCAAGGTTTTAATATGAAAATCATCTCAAATCATCTCCAAACACTCCTTGAACGTTTCCAAGAAAATTCAATATTAACAAATCAAAAGTTATATGATTTGAGCATAAAACTCTGTAAAACCCTAGAAAATAATAAAAATTACAACCTAAAAGAGTGTTTATTGGATAAGTATAATGAGAGAGAGATTTGGGAAGAAATATTGAAAGATTTGGAGAGAAAATAAAAAAAAAAATTATTTAAATAGAGAGAGAGAGAGAGAGAGAGAGAGAGAGAGAGAGAGAGAGAGAGAGAGTTGCTTTTTTTTTTTAATTGTGAGATAATCTATTTTAGCTAAAATATACTAATTTATAAAATATAATATGAGTATGAGCTACAATGTACTAGTAATAGAGAGAGAGAAAGAGAGAGAGATGTTTTTTTTACTGTGAGATAATATAGTTTAGCTATAAAATACTAGTTTATAAAATTAAATTAAGAGTATTTATGACCCAAAAAATAGATTTTAGTTTTATACAATTAAATTACTAGAGAATCGGGGTTAATCACAGTCAATATCAATATTCAAGAACGCATCAAGCGTTTTATGATAAATATGTTAGACTGCAACACTAAATAAGAAAACTTTAGATAATAAAGAAGCAATAAAAACCTAGAAGTACAAAGGATAGCAATAAATGATAATAAGTGACTTCTAAATAGTATATTAAATAAAGACAGTCCAACAAAGATGAGATTTTCAGATGTCTTTCTGACAATGATGGATGATGATGATCAACATTGTATTCCAATCTTTCTTGGATCGGGTGAGAGGGATAAAAGAGAAAGGAAGTATAAACTCATGCTTTGTTTCTATTCAATAAAGTGAGAATCTTGTACAAGGAATGTTGATGGAAATATTTACAAAAGGTCCAATCCCCTTTTTGATATACATCTATTCCTAAAACTGGTCGTCATTTCATACCAAAGGCGGGCGCTCTTCTGCGTCTTCCTTCAAACCATTTTGACCTTCGATAATCATTTATCTACCATATCTGACCTCGACCATTTGGAGTTAGGTTGACACGTCATAGCCTTCAGAGGCTCTATTGTCGTTGACCGGGTCGAACACATGAAATGAAGTTTTCGCCCATACAATTAGTCCCTCTGCTTTTTGAGGTCGTCCTTAGGGATGGGCTTAATAAGTGGATAATAGCGGTTATGGTCGCTGTCAGATGTGAATGACATGGCTTTATGAGGGCCGCATATTTCAAACTCTTGTCGTCTTAAGTTTCCTGGGTGATCTTTGGAGAGAACCTGTTGAGTATTGAGGTTTTGATGATTAACAAAGTTTGTTCAGAGGAAATGCTCTTAGAAATAGGTTCTCAACGTAGCTGCTTAACTACTCTAAAAACCAGGTTCTCAAGGTTGATGATTGCACGTTCTTACAACACATTAACTTTATCACAAAGTTACTCAAGTTCGAGTCTGTCGAAAGAGGACTACTAAATATGACAAGGGTTGTTGTCCAAGAAGATATTCTTGCATAAGTGAGATACAAGAGTCCCAAGAATTATGGGTTCGTTGGAGCAGTAGGAGTCCTATCAAACGAGAAGCTGACTACACATAGGACTCCTAAAAGATCTCAGAGTCTAGTGAGTTTGACTAATATGTTTTTGAACTGCGGAGATTATCCTTTTGCGCATCAACTAAAGAACTACATTTTTTATACTCAAGTCAAGTACTAGTATTTATGTTCTTCTTGTGTCAGTCTAGTAAATGTATTTTAGGGAATCGAGTTGTAATCAAAGTGTCATATACAATCAAAGACCTGGAATACACTTCAAATAGCTCATGAAGGAACAAACCAAGCGAAGAGATCAAGGATTGAATTGCTTATGAGGAACTATGAGCCCTTCCCCATGAAGGAGTTTGAGTCCATCTAGGAGATGATGACTAGGTTTACTATAATAACAAATGAACTGAAATCACTTGGAAATGTATTTACTTTAGAAGAGCTAGTTAGCAAAGTTTTAAGGATTCTTCCAGCTTCATGGGAATCAAAAGTCATAGTTGTTTAGGGAGCAAAGGAGCTAGATAAGATCTCACTTGATGAGTTGGTTGGAAACCTAAAGACCCATAATATGAGAAAGATAGAACTGCGCAAGAAAGAACCAAGGAGGGATAAGGCCTTGGTTCTTAAGGCATCTGAAGAAGATAAATCTGACAGTGATGATCTTAACCTAGCAATATTAGCTAAGTTCAAGAAGTTCATGA